AAATTATGTTTTCATTTAGCAATAGAGATAAATGGTTAAAACTAGAAGTTTGTAGTATTTTGGAAGAAATGAAAGTATGTAAATAAGATAATTCAAAAAGGGTTGTCACAAACATAATGAACCGTTCCCAAAGAATCTCATAATGAACTTGATGAGAAAAATTATATCCCTTTCAACAATCTAAAAATTGGAAGAAGATCATATATTTCTATTTTGAATATAGGCTTTATTGTTGTTTAGATGAAAAACTGTCCTAAACTGCAATCTCTTTTTTGTTAAAGTGAATATATGTTACTCTTATACTAACACTAAAAAATACACTGTATATATTTAAAGGAAAATAGTCATTAATTTTTGTTTTAACAATAGAGAGATTTTGACCAGAAGCAATAAAATAATTAGAAAAAATAAAAAGCACTCCATTCAATATCATATTTCTGAATTTATGTTGTCTTATTTGTTGAATTATATTCTTGCTGTACACACATGGGTTAAAATCAGAAAAGAATACATTGTTTATGTAATCATTAATATATTCCTCAGATGATTTTTCAAGACAATGTTTGAATCAATTTCTTGCACATATAAGATGATTGGCATGAAAATGAGGTTGAGGTTTAGGTGGAGAAAGTTGACCATGTGTATTGTGTTAGTTGAACATTGTTTATTTACATATAATGAAAACTACAAAATTGGCAGTAAAACAAAGGACATTAGAGGTTATTATTTTTTTTAAGAGTGTGTTGGGAGGTAAGGAGAAAGTAACCTGGGTGGTGGAAGCAGCCAAGTTGACCTAATGGAAACAGCTCCTCTTTGGCTCCCACCAAGAAGGATGAAAACAGCAAGTGAATTCTGCATCTTCATTGAGGTATCGAGTTTCTCTCATGGTACTTACTAGGTGGTTGGTGCTACCCAGGGACAGCAAAGAAAAGCATCCAGGGCCCACCCAAGAGCTGCGTGGGCAAAGTGAGCTTGCTCCCAGAGCCAAGGAAGGCTATGAGGGATTGTGCTACCCCTCCCTGAAAACCACGCTTTTCTCATGGATCCTTGCAGCCCGTGGGTCAGGAGTTCCCCTTGCAAGCCCATGCCACCAGGGCCTTGGGCCCCAAGCGCAGAACTGTAAAGACATGGCAGCTGCTTGGGTGGCTGGCTTTTTGAGCCGGCACCACGACACAGGAGTGTTTGCATACTCCAGCTCTGGGAACTCGCATGAGGCAGGATCTCTGTCCATTTCCATGGGAAGGGGGCTGAAGTCAGGGAGCCAAGTGGCCTGGCTCCCACAGAACCCCATAAGCTAAACACCACTGGCTTGGAATCCCTGCTGGCCAATGCAGCAGGCTAGAGACTGCTTAAGAAGACATAATTCCCAGGGCGGGAGGGGCAGTCACCATCGCTATGGCTCCAGTTGGCCATTGTCCCCTGCTGTAGGTGCCAGTGAGACTGGGTGGTCTGGACTGGGAACAATTCCCCAAAGCACAGCATAGCAGCTGGGTCAGTTCATGGCTAGACTGCTTCCTTTAGCAGAACTCTGATCCATTTCTTCTCACTGAATGAGGCCTCTCTGTGGGAATTTCAGCACCCCTAGACAGGGGTTTATGAACAGAACTCTGATATTTCTGAAAGGAGCCCCTAGGAGGAGGGCAGGTGCAGTATCATGGATCAGTGGTCTTTGTCTTTTCTGCCTGCTGGCTCTGAAGAGTCAGGGCAGTCCAAATGAGGGTGCAGCACACCTGCTCCACCAAGGGGCAGTCAGACTGTTTATTTAAGCAGGTCCTTGATCCCACTCCTCCTGACTGGGTGAGACCTCCCAACAGGAGTCCCCAGATACCTCATACAGGAGCATTCCAGCCAGCATCAGGTTGATGTCCCTCTGGGACAGAGCTCCTAGAGGAAGGAGCAGGCTGCCATTTTTGCTGGACTGTAGACTCCTCTGGTGATACCTCCAGTGGTGGGAGAGGCCCAGGCAAATAGGATCTGGAGTGGACCCCCAGCAAACTACAACACCCTATAGAAGAAAGGTCTGACTGCTAAAAGAAAAACCAGAAAGCAACAACAACATAAATGAAAAGGACCCCACAAAAACCCCATCCAAAGGTCAGCAACCTCAGATCAAAGGTAGATAAACTTGTGATAATGAGAAAGAATCAACATGCAAATGCTGAATATTGAAAAAGCCAGAGTGCCTTTTCTTTTTCACATGTTTGCAACATGTTTCCAGCAAGGGCACAGAACTGGGCTGAGGTTGAGATGGATGAATTGACAGAAGTAGGCTTCAGAAGATGGGTAATAATAAACTTCACTGAACTAAATAATTATGTTCTAACTCATTGCAAAGAAACTAAGAAAGGTGATAAAACATTACTGTAGATGTTAACAAGAATAACTATTACACAGAGGAACTTAAATGACATGGTCAAGCTGAAAAACACAACATAAGAATGACACAATGCAATAATAAGCATCAGTAGCCAAAGAGACCAAGCAGCTTTAAGAATATCTTGCTGAAATAAGACAGGCAGACAAGATGAGAGAAAAAAACGAATGAAAAAGAATGAACAAAATATTTGATAACTGTGAAATTATGTTAAAAGACAAAACCTATGACTAATAGGAGTACCTGAAAGAGATAGGGAGAATGGAACTAAGTTGGAAAACACACTTCAGGATGTCATCCAGGAGAACTTCCTCAACCTAGCAAGATAGATCAACATTCAAATACAGGAAACCCAGAGAACTCCAATAAGATACTCTATGAGAAGATAACCCAAAGACACATACTTGTTAGATCCTCCAAGGTTAAAATGAAGGAAAAAACGTTCAGGGCAACCAGAGAGAAAGACCAGATCTCTTATAAAGGGAAGCCCATCAAACTAACAGCAGATCTCTGCAGAAACCTTACAAGCCAGAAGACAGTGAGGGCCAATATTTGACATTTTTAAAGAAAAGAATTTCTAACATAGAATTTCATATCTGGTCAAACTCAGCTTCATAAATGAAGGAGAAATAAAATCTTTTTCAGACAAGCAAATGCTATGGGAATTCATCACCACTGGGCCTGTCTTGCAAGAGCTCTTGAAGGAAGTATTAATTATGGAAAGGAAAAACCATTACCAGCCACTACAAAAACATACTGAAGTACACAGACCAGTGACAATATGAGACAACTGCATAAACAAGTCTGCAAAATAACCAGCTAGCATCATGATGACAGGATCAAATTGATACATAATAATATTAACCTTTAATGTAAATGGCTAAATACCCCAATTGAAAGATGCAGAATGGCAAGCTGGATAGATTCAAGATTCGTTGGTGTGCTGTATTCAAGAGACCCATCTCACATGCAAAGACACACATAGACTCTATTCCATTACTACGTATATACCCAAAGGAATATACATCATTCTGTCATAAAGACACATGCATATGTATGCTCATTGCAGCACTATTTACAGTTGCAGAGATGTGGAATCAACATAGATGCCCATCAGTGATAGACTGGATAAAGAAAATGTGGTACATATACAGCATGAAATACTGTGCAGACATAAAAAGGAATGGAATCTTGTCTTTTGCAAGAACATGGGTGGAGTTGGAAGCCATTATCCTCAGCAAACTAATGTAGGAACAGAAAACCAAATGCTGCATGTTTTCATTTATAAGTGGGAGCTGAACAATCAGAACACGTTGACACAGAAAAGGGACCCAAACACACTGGAGCCTGTCGTGGGTATGGTTGAGGGAGGGGGAACATTAGGAAAAATAGCAGATGCATTCTGGGCTTTATACCTAGGTGATGAGTTGATAGGTGCAGTAATCCACCATGGCACACGTTTACCTGTGTAACCTTCACACCTTGCACCTGTGCCCCAGAACTTAAAATAAAAAGAAGAAAATAAAAAAACTTGGAAGAATGGATCAGAGACCTTGCACCATATGCCTTATGTACATTGATCTTGCATCAAGAAGTCACTGCTCAACATATGCTTACTTTATTTCATAAACATCTTTGGTAGTATCCCATACACTGTTCCTTGGTGAATGTTCTGACACTGCTTAATGCAGAAATCTGTTCGTGTGCATTTATTTTATGTGAATCGAAATCTTGAAATATTCTGACACAGAAAAGTAGATTTCTTCTGTTTCAATCCTAATGTAAGGGATCAGTCCATTTTTCAGAATGGAAATATAACAGTCTCAGTACTTTGTCAGTTATCTGAGGTTGAGAAACTACTTTTTCATTATAAATTATGTTTCACATTATTATATTGAAAATAACATATTATAGAGGTAAGCAAAACATTCTCATTAGTTTTTTACATAGAACCTGGGCTTAGAAAGAATGCTTTTGCTTGACTTAAGCCAGAGGTTTGCAGAAGCTATATCCAGTTGAAAAAGTTTTCTGTGTAACAGCATTGATATTGAAGACCATTCTCATTAAGCTTCAAATTATCTAGTAATAAGATCCACTAATTATTTATATTTCTCATACAAGTTGCCAGAATAAAGTCTTGGTTTTCTAAAATTTATATGCTTTCTGTTCCCAATTGTCAGAACTGAATAATCTAGTATATTCTCTTTAACCTTACATTCTAGGAAGTTCAGAGTTAAATTTCATAAAGTCTTTATTTTTAATAATTTTGAATTATTGTCTTATATATATTTATATATTTTGCAAGCCAAACTAGTTCTCTTTGGAAGTAGATGAATTATACTTTGTACATGTTCTGGTTGCATGCCTTTAATTTGCATTTACTTAGATGAAATGTAGATGAATTATATTTTTGAAACTACAGGTTTTCCCTTTTGATCCTCCACCCCACACACAATATGACCTTATACAAATTATATTCGATGGGAACCTTCAATGTGAATGACAGCAAAATATTTGTTTTCCTATTATCTTTTGAATGGCCCAATACTGGATTTGAACTCAAGACTAAATAATTCTTCAAAAAGGAATTAGCAGTGTTTTATAAAGTTACTATTTTTTTTTTCAGCAAAGCTAGAGAAGATCTGCTGAAAATTCAGAAAGAACGTGATTTTCATCGAATGCATCACAAGCGAATAATTCAGGAAAAAAACAAATTAATTAATGACCTCAAAGGGTAAGCTTCTCATATTTGTTGTCATGTTTATTAAAGAGTTATTCAATACATGTTAAGTAATTTGACTATGACAGAAAGTTTCAGACAAAGTTATTAATTCCACATTTATTGAGCATAAGATGAGTAAGTTGTGCCCCTTGCTGTCAAGGGTCCCAGAAATGAGTTGTGTGTGTGGAGTGGGAGGAGTTAAGCAGAAATATACAGAAATACACTGCTTTGTTGCTATGCCACCCAAAAGGACTGTCATCCCAATCAGTCTGGAGTGTGAGAAGGCTCAAGGATTTATTTCAACAGGAATTAAATTCTCAAGTACAAGTAAGAGTAGACAGTGAGGAAGTGGGGTCAGCACAGTGCTCTTGGCAGTTAGTACATCCTCTGCAAATACACCAAGACATGAAAAAACATGGTATGTTCATCAAATTATGCATAGAAAGCAAAATGCAGTTGTGGTATTGCCAGGATAAGGAACATATGTCTAAATGATTTTGAATTTGTGATGTCTTAGAAATATTTTGAAGGCATTATTGAGATTTACTTTCTCTCCTTTACCTTCCTCAGCTACAAAAGCAAGAAAAGAAATTTACAATCTTTAAATAAAATTGTATTTTTCTTGCTTTAGGGCAGTGCTGTTCAACAGGACTTTTGTGATGATGTAAACACTCTAAATCTGTACTGTCCAATAGCCCCTAGCAATTTATATTCAAAAATAGACCATACTTGTTCAAATTCCTAATATATATAAAGGGACTACTTTGCATATAAAATTCATCATTTTAGATTATACGTTTTTTCATGTTTCATTATTTCAGGTACCATGGTGAAGAAGTGCACATTACTTTGTAATACAACTACACTTTCTGTATATTCAGATAGCCTTTATTTCTTCATTTAGTCATTATGAAAAACATCTTCATATAAAAATCTGGATGAATCACTAAAGCGCATTTTATAAAGACCTGAAACAAAACTTCAGTGATGCCACTGAGTCACAAAATAGCTTGGCATCAAGTTAATCAGTCAAACACAGTTTGACTGTGTTTGCCTGATAGGTGTGCCATTGCATAAAAAATCATCTATAGGATGGAGAGTTTTTGATGCCAGGCAAAGTTAGGGTCTGAGCTCTCTATGTCATATTTTACCCAAATACATTTTTTCTGTAAAAATTTCAACTAGTTTGATAATACATTTTGCGGTATTTTTTTTTTTTTTTGGTTTGTTTGTTGTTTTGTTTTTTAGAGTCAGGGTCTCATTCTGTCACTCATGCTGGAATGTAGTAGTTAAGACAAGGCATCCTATAGCCTCCAACTCCTGGGTTCAAGCTTCCACAGCCTTCTGAGTAGCTGGGTCTACAGGTGCATGCCACCATACCTGGCTAAAGTTTTTTATGTTTTAATTTTTTTGTAGAGATGGGAGTTTCACTTAGTTGCTCAGATTGGCTTTCGACTCCTGGCCACCAGTGATCCTTTCATACTGGCATCCCAAAGTGTTGGAATTACAGGCCTCAGCAAGCAAGCCTGGCCAGTATTTTCCATTTAACACAAGTGTCTTATTAGGAACATACTTATTTTCAGAATTATCTATATCTAATATTACAACTTGCAAACAGATGAATTATGATGTACTTATGGACCTTATAAAATAGATACACCCTTTAAAAATGGATTAAACCGTTTCTCTGTTTCCTTGCCACATTTCAGTGAAATTCTATGTGTTGTTAATTCTTTTAACAGAAGATAGTCAAGCCATATCTCATGAATGAGCTAAATTCCAAAATTAGTAAAAAAAGGGAAATTTCACCGTCAATATTTTCTTTAAAATTCTTCATCCACAAATTACAGTGTACATTGTTTATATATACAATTCTACATCTGTGTGTTTTATGTATTTATAAATATGTAATGTTTGTGGAAGATTATAGTATACAGCAAAGCATATATATATATATACACACACACTATATATATATGTATATATATAAATACTATATACAGCAAAGTATACATATACACTATATATATACACACACACTAAGTGTACATATATACACACTAAACTAATCAGAATGGACAGAATGGATGATAGAACTGTACATACTACCTGTATTTTTATTTTTGTTACTTTTTCTGAGTGTTGTATTAATAAAGATAATATGTATATATAAAGTAACTGTACTTTAATGCTTAATTTCTATTGCTATCATCGGTGAAATATGATATCCAAATTAGTCTTTTATAAATACTGCTTTGAAAACATTTATTGTAGAAAATAAAAAACTCTGTTTTAATTTTTAATAGAAAAAATATTTTTTTGGAGAATCCTCTACTGTCTGCCAGGGTAGCTCCAGCGTCTCAGGGAATTTCTGCTTTGGGCTATGTCACTGTAAACAGTACAGAATTAGCGCTCCAGCCAGTCCTGGACTAAATCTCAAATGTAAGAAGCTATAAAACTGGTACAAAATATATGAGGCTGTTGTTTTTTTAAGATGGTGAAAAATTGGCAAAGCAGGACCATGATGCCTAAGAAAAGACAAACACAAAATGAGCAGTGTGATCACCCCATATTTCTTCCTGAAGGTACTTTTCAACCCACAGTTTGACCAGATATAACCTAAGCAAAGCATGGTGGGTTTTGGAGCTGAGGAATCAGAGTTCCAAGTTCAGGGCTGCAAATGTAGCTGAATTTGCAGCATGGTGTATGCAGAAGGAAAGAGGTACATGAAATGTGGCTTAAGAAATACCTTTACTGGTTCTCTTCAGTCTTTGGCCACATAACTAACTTGTGGAATTATAGGATGAGAGAACACGAAGCCTACCAGAAACCATCAGCTGGGACACTGTGAGAAAATAGATTCAAAAGGTTGTGCAGCGCTAGGAGATGTAGAGGTTTTGACCAGCCTTAAGGGAAGGAACCTCACTGAATACTCTGAACATTTAGTTCATATCCTTAATAAGCCGTGGCATACAAGCAGACATAATTTGTCCTAGAGAAAGTGTTGCTTTAGACTTTTTCTCCAAAAAGCTTAATGGTAAGCTTTGAAAAACTCAAGCTGATTCACTAGGAAATTAACTGTCAGAAAATAACTCTTTAAAGGAAGAAAACAAAATTCAGACAAGTGTATGTTCAACATCAATCATTAAATGAAGTTTATATGTATAGATCTATATATAGATATAGAAATATCTAGAAGCAGGAAGACATGACCTATGATCGGGAAAAAGCAGAAAGAGTCACAAAGAAAAGAGAATTACAGAATTAGCAGACAGAGACTTTAAAACAGTTATTATGAAATGCTTAGCGTTTTAAAGAAAATGATGACTGTAAGGAGTGATAAAGAATTAAACAGAAAATTGAAAACTGAAAAAATGATACGTGTAATGATTAATTTACTAATAAGATTTAGAAGATTGGGCATTGACAATGGAAAGATCAATGAACATGAAGACACGAAGTTAGAAAATAATCGAACTGGTGCGCAAAGAGAAAAAAGCTGAAAAGAAATGAGCAGGAACTCAGAAAAATGACTAATGAAACATAAATAGTACCTCTGGGACAATATCAGATAGTTCATTAGAAGAGGCTGAGGATAACCTTCCTCATTCTGCTAGCTTATTCCAATTACTAAGTATACAAGTTCAGATTATTTCCTCAGGAACACTGGAATTCATCACTGAGTGCTTACATGGATGAAATATGCTGTGAGCCAGAAATTAGCCAGGACCCTACTTATTTCCTCACTCTTATAGACTCCCATTCTAACAGAGGGGTCATGATTCTGCTTTAGGTTTCAGAATTTGAATGACAACTTCTTAAAATATCTTCCCCCAGTATGTAGTCATGCGACCAAATAGCGAGGGGTAATTTGCAGAAAAATTGAGGCTATTTATAAAAGTATATAATTGCTATGGTGTTATGGAGTGCTTCCTCTACTGTCTGCCAGGGTAGCTCCAGCATTTCCACTTAGCAGTGTTGGCTATCTTTCCAAGTTTCTAAAGACCACCTTGAAAGTGAATTTACCTTATTTGCTAGAGTTTTTGCTATAATGTTAAATCCATTGTGTTGAGGTCAAGGAATTATTGTTTATCTAGTCTTGCATTCCAGCCCCCTTTATCAACTACCTCAAAATGTAGTCTTGGGGGGTATTTTCCCGGTTCCTGCCAGTACATGCTGACTATTTCTTGCAGCAGTTTAGATGTATACTCTCTTTCCTCCCTGATCACACCATCAGTTTGGCACTAAGGAGAGGAGGTAGGGACACCTTTATTGAGGGAGAGGGTAGCATCTGTTACTTGTTACTTTGTGGGGAAGAGGGTTTTTCACCATTTTGCAGCACAGCTGAAGTACTACTTCTTTCTAGGAAATGGTGACCACCTCTGTAAGCCCATAGGGCTACAGAAAAGCATTCTCAGGGGCATCCTGAGAACCAGAGAAAATGAAAGTGACATTTCATACACTTCATATAATAAAGAGTTAGTTTACATGGAACACATAATATTAAATATGCATTACTCTAAGAGATTCAAAATACATAAAGCAAAACCTGATAAAATTGAAAGGAAAAATAGAAATGTCCTTAGTTATACTAAGGATTTTAACACTCAGTGTTAGAAAGTGTAGGAAGAAATATTCATAAGTGTATTTTACATCCATGAAGAGGCTGGGGATAACCTTCCCCATTCTGCTAGCTTATTCCAATTGCCAAGTATATCAATTCATATTATTTACTTAGGAATCCTGGAATTGATCACTGGATGGATACATGGACCAAATATGCTGTGAACCAGGACCCTACTTATTTCCTGGCCCCTATAGACTTCTATTCTAACAGAGGAGACCAGATATAACCCAAGCAGAGCATGGTGGTTTTCGGAGCTGAGGAGGCTGAGATCAGAGTTCAGGGCTTCAGAGGTAGCTGGAACTTGCAGCAGTGTGTACACAGAAGGAAGGGGGTACATGAAATATAGCTTAAGAAATATCTATAATAGTTCTCTTCAGTCTTTGGCCACATAACCTTTGGAAGTATAGGATGAGAAAACATAAATCCTAGCAGGAAAACAGAATCTGGGAAGCTCTGAGCAAAATAGAGATTCCAGAGGTTGTGTAGAAGAATACTGTCAATCAATTGAACATAGTTAACATTTCTTGACTTCTACTTTGAACTTTCCAATCTTCTGAGTACATACTTGGACACAGCAAGGAAATAGAGAACTAGTTAAGACATGTGATTTTCCTCTCTCTGCACCCTCCACCCTCATGTTGTAGTGAAGTTGCATGTTTTCTGTGCTTCTTGGCTGTAGTGTGTTAACCTTTACATGGCTATTCATTTTTACTTCACAGCAAAAAAAAAAAAAAAAAAAAATAGTTTTGATGTTAGATGAAAATCACTAATTTAACTCAATTACCCCTTAAGATGCTATTGACTTTTTATTTTTTATAGGTTGAAGTTACATTATGCATCTTATGAACCAAGTCTAAGGGTATTACATGAGAAGCATCATACTTTACTAAAGGAGAAAATGCTGACCTCCTTGGAAAGAGACAGAGCAGTTGAGCAGGTAAAGATACAGTCAAAGCTGCCTTAAAATGATCTTTTAATCATTTTTTTAGTAATACAAGCAGAAATACTGGTTTTGTTTCTGTGATTAATTTTAAAGCATATTCAACCAATTTTCATGTAAAAGAGATCCATTTAGAAACATTCAGAAGGTTTGGAGAATTCAAGATGGCGCGGTAAAAACAACTCAGGGTCACAGCTCTCAGTGAACGTGCAGAGGGTGAGTCAAAGTCACATTTCCAGATGGTTTTTGTTGCCCACAGAACGGGGAAATTCCCAGGTGTAGGAGAGACATGGGACGCATGCGCAACCATTTTGACTGTTGCGGTCACTTCGGCTGCCACCGCAGCGCAGTGACACTCTGCAACACTCCACTCAAAACACACTGGTTTGGGTACCTTGCTAAACCAGCAATCTGAGATTTCGGAGGGCAGATTATCATATCCATCTGATTAAACAGGACTTGGACAGTGAGCCAGACCAGGAGATTCCTGAGAAGTGGCGTTTGAGCCAGCGCAGTGGCTCGCTGCATGGGAAATCACACAGATCCCAGTGCCCTAACAGCAGGCGACCGAAACACCTGGAAGAGAGCCATCTGTTTAACTTAAAAAAAAAAAAAAAGTAGCTCTGAGGAAGGGAGCCAGGCGAGCAGGCTCGGTGGGTTTCACCCCCACAGGGACAAACAAAACAGCAATTTGAAACACTCCTGGTGGATAGTTTAACTGTGGGCACAGCTGAATCCAGGACGGTGCAGCTCGGTGGGGGAGGGGCGTCTGCCATTACTGAGGCAATCTGCCCCTACTGAGGTACACTCCCATTGCTGACGCAGCCTGCTGTTGCCAAGGCAACCCACCATAACAGAGACTCCGCCACAGGGTAGAGCCTGTGGCAGCAGGGCAAAGCTGGCGGCAGAGCCTGCGGCTGCAGGGCAGAGCCCTCAGCGACAGGGCAGAACCAACATCAGCAGGGTGGAGCCTTGGCAGGAAATAGTGACTAGACTGCCTCCTAGCTGGGCAGAACCAACATCAGCAGGGTGGAGCCTTGGCAGAAAATAGTGACTAGACTGCCTTCTAGCTGGGCAGAATAGTGCAACGGACACTCATAAAGAAAGCCACAACTCCACAAGACAGAGCATCTGAGGGAAAAAAAAGGGATCTGCTGCAGGAGACATAAATGTAGCAGCCTAACAGCCCTGAATGAACAATGGAGCTCAAAGCTCAGGACTTGGGCTCCTATAAAGTACAGACCATCTCCTCAAGAAGCTCCCTGACCCCTGTATATCCAGAGTCACCTCAAAAAGGACTGATCAGACTGGCATTAGGCAGGCATCATTCTGAGACAAAGATAGCAGAAGGAGGAACTGGTAGCATCCCTCACTGTTCTGCAGCTGCTACAGGTATACCCCAGACAAGCAGGGCCTGGAGTGGACCTCAGCAGTCATACAGCAGAGAAGCTAGACTGGTAGAAGGAAGACCAAGTAACAGAAATACCTCATCACAACAATCTGGGCATCCACTCAGAGACCCAATCGAAAAATCAGCAACTACTCAGACGACAGGTGGATAAATCCACAAAGATGGGAAGAAACCAGCAAAAAAAAAAAAAAGGAAAACACACAAAACCAGAACAACTTGCCTCCTAGAAAGGAACAAAACTCCTCACCAGCAAGGGAACAAAGCTGGACGGAGAATGACTGTGACAAAATGACGGAATTAGACTTCAGAAGGTGGTTAATGAGAAACTTCCGTGACCTAAAAGAACATGTTCTAAATCAATGCAAAGAAACTAAGAACCTTGAAAAAATATTTGAAAAAAAGATATGAGGAAATGATAACAAGAATGGATAACTTAGAGAGGAATATGAATGAATTGAAGGAGCTGAAAAACACAACACGAGAACTTCGCGAAGCATGCACAAGTTTCAACAGCCAAATTGACCAAGCAGAAGAAAGAATATCAGAAGTCGAAGATCAATCCAATGAAATAAAACAAGAAACCAAGATTAGAGAAAAAAAATGCAAAAAGGAATGAACAAAGTCTCCAAGAAATGTGGGACTATGTGAAGAGACCTAACCTACGTTTAATAGGTGTACCAGAATGGGATGAAGAGAACGAATTAAAGCTGGAATATACTCTTCAGGATATTATCCAGGAAAACTTGCCCAACCTACCAAGGCAGGCAAACACTCAAATCCAGGAAATACAGAGAACATCACAAAGATACTCCGCAAGAAGAGCAACCCCAAGGCACGTAATCGTCAGATTCACCAGGGTTGAAATGAAGGAGAAAATACTAAGGGCAGCCAGAGAGAAAGGTCAGGTCACCCACAAAGGGAAGCCCATCAGACTCACAACACATCTCTCAGCAGAAACTCTACAAGCCAAAAGAGAGTGGGGGCCAATATTCAACATCCTTAAAGAAAAGAACTTTCAACCCAGAATTACATATCCAGCCAAACTGAGCTTCATAAGTGAAGGAAAAATAAAATTTTTTTGCGAACAATCAAGTACTCAGAGATTTTGTCACTACCAGGCCTGCTTTACAAGAACTCCTGAAAGAGGCACTACACATAGAAAGGAACAACCAGTACCAGCCATTCTAAAAACAGGCTAAATGCTAAAGAGCATCAACAAAATGAAGAGTCTACATCAACTAACAGGCAAAACATCCATCTAGCATCAAAATGGCAGTATCAAATTCACACATAACAATTAATCGTAAAGGTAAATGGGTTAAATGCACCAATCAAAAGACACAGACTGGCAAATTGGATAAAAAACCAAAAGCCATCAGTGTGCAGTATCCAGTATCCAGGAAACTTATCTCACATGCAAGGATACACAAAGGCTCAAAAATAAAGGGATTGAGGAAGATTTGCCAAGCAAATGGAGAGAAAAAAAAAAAAAAAAAAAAAAAAAAGCACGTGTTGCAATTCTCATCTCTGATAAAATAGACTTTAAAGCAACAAAGATTAAAAGAGACAAAGAAGGTCATTACATAATGGTAAAATGATTGCTACAACAAGAAGAGCTAATGATTCTAAATATATATGGACCCAATACAGGAGCACCCAGATATATAAGGCAAGTTCTTAATGACTTACAAAGAGACTTAGACTCCCACACAATAATAGTGGGAGACTTTAACACTCCACTGTCAATATTAGACAGATCAACCAGACAAAATCAACAAAGATATCCAGGGCTTGAACTAAGACCTGGAACAAGCATATTTGATAGACATTTACAGAACTCTCCACCCCAAATACACAGAATATACATTCTCCTCAGCACGACATCACACCTACTCTAAAATTGATCACATAATTGGAAGTAAAGCACTCCTCAGCAAATGCAAAAAAACTGAAATCATAACAAACAGTCCCTCAGACCATAGTGCAATCAAGTTAGAACTCAGAATTCAGAAACTAACCCAGAATTGCACAGCTTCATGAAAACTGAACAACTGGCTCTTGAATGTTGACTGAATAAACGATGAAAGGAAGGCAGAAATAAAGAAGTTCTTCAAAACCAATGAGAACGAAGACACATATCTAGCCAGACTGATAAAAACGAAAAGAGAGAACAACCAAATAGATGCAATAAAACAATAATGGGAAAATCACCACAGATTCCACAGAAATTTAAACCATCATCAGAGAATATTATAAACAACTCTATGCACATAAACTAGTAAACCTGGAAGAAATGGATAAATTCCTGGACTCCTGTGTCCTCCCAAGCCTAAACCAGGAGGAAGCCAAAACTATGAATAGACCAATAACAAGGTCAGAAGTCGTGGCAGCAATTAAGAGCCTACCACCCAAAAATGCCCAGGTCCAGATGGGTTCACAGCTGATTTCTAACAGACAAACAAAGAGGAGCTGGTACCATTCCTTCTGAAACTATTCCAAATAATCCAAAAAGGGAATCCATCCCAAAACATTTGATGAGACCAACATCATCCTGATACCAAAACCCGGCAGAGACCCAACAAGAAAAGAAAACTTCAGGCCAATATCCATGATGAACATAGATGCAAAAATCTTCAATAAAATACTGGCAAGCCGATTGCAACAGCACATCAAAAAACTTATCCATCATCATCAAGTAGGATTCATCCTGGGGATGCAAGGCTGGTTCAACATACGCAAGTCTATAAACTTAATTCACCACATAAACAGAACCAAAACCAAAAACCACATGATTATCTTAATTGACACAGAGAAGGCATTTGACAAAACTCAACAGCCCTTTATGCTAAAAACCCTCAATAAACTCAGCATAGATGGAACGTATCTCAAAGTAATAGAAGCTATTTATGACAAACCAACAGCCAATTTCATACTGAATGGGCAAAAACTGGAAGCATTCCCTTTGAAATTTGGCACTAGACAAGGATGCCTTCTTTCACCACTCCTATTCAATATAGTAATAGAAGTTTTAGCCAGAGCAGTCAGGCAAGAAAAAGAAATAAAGGGTATTCAAATAAGAACGGTGGAAGCCAAATTGTCTCTATTTGCAGAGGACGTGATAGTATACCTAGAAGACCCCATCACCTCAGCCCAAAAACTCCTGAAACTGATAAGCAACTTCAGCAAAGTCTCAGGATATAAAATCAATGTGCAAAAATCACAAGCATTCCTATACACCAATAAGAGACTTAAAGAGAGCCAAATCCAGAACAAACTGCCATTCGCAATTGCTACAAAAAGAATAAAATACCTAGGAATACAACTTATAAAGAATGCAAGGGACCTCTTCAAGGAGAACTACAAACCACTGCTCAACAAAATAAGAGAGGACACAAACAGATGGAGAAACATTCCATGTTCATGGTTAGAAAGAATTAATATCGGGAAAATGGCTATACTGCCCAAAGTAATTTACAGAATCAATGCTATCTCGATCAAGCTACCATTGACTTTCTTCACAGAACTGGAAAAAACCACCATGAACTTTATATGGAACCAAAAGAGAGCCCGCATAGCTAAGTCAATT